TTCGTTCGTTGAATTTTTGATCTTGGATTCTATTAAATTTGGATTCTTTGCTTGTTCTAACCTCGAGTTTTTCTAAATTAAACGTCACAAATGTTTTTCGATTCATAAATAATTTCATAAATAGGCACAAGGATTTGGATTCTTCGCTTGTTCTAGGCTCGAATTTTTTTAGGTTAAGTGTCACTTTCTGCGATTTCTTCACTGATCCTCTTTGATTTTGAGTTTTATAAATATTTGAATTTGAATTTCTTTGATCTTGAATTCTATTAAATTTGGATTCTTCATTTGTTTTAGGCTCGAATTTTTCTGTATTGAATGTGAAACTTTCTGCGATTTCTCTTCTGGTTTCGAAGTTAGTTTGTAAGTAGACGCGGAGAGCTTGGATTCTTTTATGAATTCCTTCAAACTTTGAAGTTTTGAACAATTTTTCTTTAAATTCTTGATTTCTCTTGGATAAAACAATTTTTTTAAATTTACAACTTTATAAAGCGGAGAATTTATCGACAGAGAGAAAAAAAATTATTCGTCAAGCGATATAAAGTTTTCTATTTTCATTATAATTTATCTACTCGATAAAGAAAAGGATGAAAGAATTTGTAACTCGTTTGAAAGAAAGAAAGAGAAACTCGCTCGATATACCAAAGTTCAAAATAGTGAAACTAGTGAAACTAAAAGTGTCATTAACTTCTTTTCAAGAGTTAATTACTCCTCAAATATAGCTCGAGCTTTTAAATTTGTCTAATCTGAATATCTTTCTGTTCTCTTTTCTTTATTTTTCTTTTTTTTTTTTTCCCTCTTCAAGCAAAAAATATATCTTGATTAAACAGCCTTGATCCGCAACCAACGACCCAGTTCCATCGTGAGCCGAGTTTAATCCTTTCTATTCGTTCACGAGGAAACGCAACACCGTTTACTACGATTAATCGTTCGAGAAGGTACGTTTCAAAAAAAGAACTATATCGCATTTCGTTTCGTACAAAGGATGGATCGTTTCGATGAGATTGAGAGGAAAATTTAATTCGAAAGTTTTTTTTTTTTTTTTTTACGATCTATCGTGAAATCGAATGAAAATCAAACTTGAGTTTTTCGTACAAAACTCAATTTATTTCTTACAAGATCTCGTTACACCGATTGATGAAAGGCTTTGATAATCGATACCCGTTCAATTATTTAAGCGACCACTATTTCCACAACTGGAATAGAAAGGAAATAACAACGAGAATCCACTTTCACCTACTTTTTTTCTATTTTTGTGTTTCGTGCATCGATACCATTACCACGGATTCATTAGTGTTTTTCATCGGTTGTTTCCACTCGCTTGTTCCGTAGTAAAGGGAAGATGATTAATATCCTTTCATGATATATTTTAAAAGTCGACTTCCTATTACGTATTTATCAATCTTGAATACGGCAATTTTAATATACGGAGTGGGTTGTGTAATACGATTATCTGAATTATTTTTTTTCAGATAATAAAATTATATTATATTTTAATTTTAATAAGCGCTGTAATAAATAAATAAAACGGTATTTTATTTATTTTGGATTAATATTTTGATAAGTATCGGTGAAAGTGATGAGAACACTTAACTATGAGAAAGTATTAAATAGTAATTAAAAGAGGAAAGAAAATTTGACGAAATTTCACTTCGTTAATCTTTATCTATCTGGAAAAATATATTTTTAGAGACGGAACGATTAAAAGATAATTATCGTGGTGGCGTCAATTGTTTTCTATAATCGCAATTGTTTTCTAATAAATCGCAAAAGATAATGTCAATTCTGTAGATTACATTTTTTTTTTTTTTGCTTTTTATTCGATATTAATAACATCGATAAAAATATTTACGATTCTTAAGAAAATTCTACGATCAATTTTTCGATTAATTCGAAAATTCGTCGATTTCGCAAATTGGATCGATTCGATCGGAAACTTCGGGCAAACAAATTTCAACACGAGTTGAAAGTTATCGGCAATTCCAATTTCGATTATTAGAAAATTGGATCCAATTCCACGATTAGAAACTTCAATCAAATTCCTCGAATACAATTGTTGAAAATTGTGGCAACTCGATTCCATTATTAAAAAATTGGACCAATTTCAATTCCAATTGAAATTGGAAAACTCGATTTCGATGGAAACTCGATGGAAAATATGAACGATCGTTGAAAAATTATTAGAAAATTGGGCCAAAAATTTTTCAATTTTACGCGATTAGAAAATTCGACCAATTTCGTTTCAACGCGAATTAGAAAATTAGTCCAATTCCACGAATCTTCTAAAATTGAATAATTCAATTCGATAATTAAAAAAAAGAAGGGAAGAGGAAGAGAACTACTACTTGCCCATGAGGTAATTTCGTATGGTCTTGACCCAGGAGGCGACTTGTCTCGGGTCTGTGTGGCTCATGGTCACGCTGTGATGGCTCCATTTGTTCTTTGGCCCGTGCACAGCGTAGTGGAGAATGAAATTCGTCGGGCACACGGTAGGTGACGTGGGCGACGTTGTCAGTTGCTTCTCCTTAAAGTTTACCCCGTGTATCCAATCGTCACCGTAGCGAACGGCGAGCACGTCGGTCATTGGTAGCGTCCATCTTGCTGGAAAGATCGTTGGAAACAAAAAAAACTTGGTCAATAGAAGCCAATGGAAATTATCGTTTTGCCTCTTCGTTTGTATCTCTGAATTATATATTTTTAAGGTTAAGACAAATTTTCAAGTTCGAATTTATTTTAAAATTATCTTGGAATTAAATTCGATTTTTACAGATATATATAGAAATATTCTTCGTTTGTATCTCTGAATTATAATTTTTAAGGTTAAGACAAATTTTCAAGTTCGGATTTATTTTAAAATTATCTTGGAATTAAATTCGATTTTTACAGATATATATAGAAATATTCTTCGTTTGTATCTCTGAATTATAATTTTTAAGGTTAAGACAAATTTTCAAGTTCGGATTTATTTTAAAATTATCTTGGAATTAAATTCGATTTTTACAGAGATATATAGAAATATTCTTCGTTTGTATCTCTGAATTATAATTTTTAAGGTTAAGACAAATTTTCAAGTTCGGATTTATTTTAAAATTATCTTGGAATTAAATTCGATTTTTACAGAGATATATAGAAATATTCTTCGTTTGTATCTCTGAATTATAATTTTTAAGGTTAAGACAAATTTTCAATTTTCGGATTTATTTTAAAATTATTTTGAAATTAAATTCGATTTTTACAGAGAAATATTAATTTTATGTCCCATTGTTATTGATACAAGTTATATACACAGTAGATACATAATTTAGGCGTGGGATCGATTCTCTTAAATTATTCTTTCCTCGCTAAAAAGATAAAAATATCTGCATGGAATCGAAAAATTGGTTATTACAGATTATGATACAGGATTAGATAATAAATCAAAGAGGAAACAAGTACGAGTGGAAAGACGAGAGACAAAGGGGATTCGATTTACCGTTCTCTAATAGCCGCCACTTAATATCGCAACAGGGTGACGAGAACAAAGGCGAGCCAAGCTCAAAACGTCCGATTGTTTTGCATAATTGAACTAGCTGCTTCTACTCGTCCGCAAAATACCCTATGAAATATAATCGATATTCTCTATGTTCGAATGAACACGAAAGAAGGAAGAAAGGGAAAAGAAGAGACGAGGAAACATAACCTCCAATGTGAAGGTTTCGGTTTCGTTTTTCTACGATCGAGTGATAAAAGGAAAGTGAAAAAAAAAGATATAAGATAAAAATAATCGATATTTTAACGTTTTAGATTAGATTAATCAGAAATGAACAATTTGATCGACCAACATCTCTCTCTCTCTCTCTCTCTCTCTCTCTCT